AAACATGTATGAACATCGACACATGTAAAAATAGCACAGATAGTGTAGTAAATAGCCCAAAAGATCTCGAGAAACGTTGAAATGTTTATCATATAGCCGCCTAAATCAGATTGAATAAGAGTGTTGTATATGAGTAAAAATCAACAGTATTTAACCGATTATAGAATACTTACCGGGATAAATCGCTGCAGCTTAAAGTAAATACGAGTTATCTTTAATTGTGTGGCGAAATATTTCCGAATTACCTTAAGGTTTTGTTTTCTTTTTTTCAAATTATTAAAATGTATAGAAACGGTATATTGTCTGATAGCCTCTCGTTACAACTAAGTATACGAGGTTAGTTGTATCAGATAATATCCGTAACAGTCGTTGTCACATCAGATGATAATATAATGATGTAGCCGATTGATCATACAGGAAAATATGATTTGAAACCACTTTAAATTAGCCAACCACATTAAGAATATTCAAAATAGCAACCGCCTTAACACACCCATCCATTTATCATTGCCAAAACCTGAAAAATTTAATATTAATACAAATTCAATTTGAGAGTTTATAAAAAAAAAATTTGTTCATATTCATAATTAATCTTTATCTTGTTTATTTTCCATCTACATTATTCATTTATTTTGATTGTAGTTTATTAATTCGTTAGTTTACCTTATTTATTAGTTATTTTGATTCTTATTAGTATATTAATTAGTCTAATTATTATCATTATTATTATTTATTTAATTAATCTTTTGTGTATTTCATTTATTCACCAGTATAGTACGATTTAGTTTATCTTATTTATATTTTTATAGCATTTAGTAGTTATTTGATTTGTTATTTATATATTTATTTTGTGATAATAATATTTTTCTATGTATTCATTTATCTATAACTTATATTTTCAAATTATTTCACCAATTTCCTAAATAATTCCTTTTTTCATATAATTTTTGGCCTATTAATTTCCGTGAGTGCATTAAATTGAGTAAAATTTTACATTCGAATTGCATAATAAGATCTAAAGTAATTAGATGATAACTTTCTTCTGAAATTATCATGAGCAACAGTCCTCCTAATACTAAATCAAGAAACAGATATAGACAAGTGCAATTTGATTTAAACCGATCTTCACCTCACGTATTGCAAAAAGTCCCAAAACCTAATACTCCTAAAACTCAGTCTAAACCTAAAACTGAAATCGATATGGCTCAAAGTAATAAGCCTAATGAACAGATTTGAGATATGTCCCATACCATCATGTCTAGCACTCCTAATCCGACACAAGCCGCGATCTACAGATCTTTTAGTTCAACAAGGTGTTAACTCACAGTTATCCGAGATTAAGAAGACCATGGCCGAATTGACATCAACAGTCAGCAGATTAAGCATAGTGGTACAACAAACTCAGCAGGAAAACCGCAAACTAGAAGAAGCAAGCGTATCCAGAAATTCCAGTGATGGAAACATGCAAGTCGACGCCTCAGAAATTCAACTTCCCTCAGCTCCGTCATCAAGAGCCACATCCATAGCCAGTGAGGAGACAAGAAGCTATAACAGATCGATAAATGGGATTAGAATTAGATGGGGACAACAACAAATTAGCTGTCGAAGACTTCGTGTTCGGTTTAGAACGACTGCAAAGCCAATATGGTGTATCCTGGAAGGAGGTTTTAGATAATTTCCATCTTTTAGTCAAAGGAGCTGCTGAAAAATGGTATTGGTTGTTTATTTGTTTATACAAACCAATTACGTCACAGAATGGTCAACATTAAAATCGGCCTTGCTAAAGCAGTACCAAGCAATCAGGTCTAGCTTTGAACTGATGAGAGATATGGTTGAAAGAAGACAATTGTCAAGAGAATCGATCGATGCGTTCTTTTTTGCCATGACTCAATTTAGATCTCGTCTTAGCATCTCTATGACCGAGGCTGAAATGATAAAAATGATTAAGAAAAATCTTGGACAGAATATCGGCAGAATAGTTTACCCGATGACAGTTTCTTCGGTGGAAGAGTTAAGGATGAGTTGTCTAGATGCCGAAAAAACTTTCCTTAAAAGAGACTTTCGTCAACAGCCAGCAGTAGCGAACAGGTACCAAATTAGTGAGCTATATGAGGATCAAGAAACTCAACCTTTTCGTGAAGAAACTTTTGATGAAGTAGCGGCAGTTAGACTCGTTAATGCCAGCAATTCCACTCCAAGGCAAACATTACTATGCTGGAACTGTCGCCAAAATGGACACATGTTCATGGATTTCCCAGCAGAAGAAAGATCAATTTTCTGCTATAGTTGTGGAAAATCTAATGTCATAGCCCCTAATTGTGCCAATTGCCGCAATCGAAATTTTTCCAGGAACGAAGGGAGAGCTGGGACCATCGTTCAACCCACAACCCGCAGGGACATCTACAAGAACAATAAAAATAAATTTAATACAAGAAGCAAAAAAAATTCAACAAATTCTTACCCCAGCAAAGACATTTCTACACTCTCGAAGAACGTCAAAAAAACTATGAATCCGTCCGAAATAGAATCTTTGACTCCGAAATCTCCATCCGTCGTCCAACAATATCTAGAAGGATTAAAATGTTAAGAGAAAAATTCGCAGAAAGAAAACGAAATAGAAAACTTACCATAGAAGCAATTAAAACTGCTGATGAGAAATCTTCTGACCCCAGACCATATGCTGAGTTTTCGATTGGTAATGTCAATTTGCAAGGCCTTCTGGATACTGGTACTTCAGTTAGCATTTTAGGAAAAGTATGTCGAGAACTAGTCAATGAGTTAGATATTCCAATAATACCCATATACTCCTTAATAACAACAGCTAGTGGACAAAAACAAAAATTATTAGGTAAAATAATAGTAGACGTTAAATATAGTGATAGGACAGGTAGAATAACTCTTTATCTATGTCAAGATTTAGAACAACCAGCGTATTTGGGGATCGATTTTTGGAAAATATTCCAACTCGCTCCGGAAATCGTCGGCGTTGACGAATTGAACATAGAAAGAGTTATTGAAACCTTCAAAACTGAAAATCACAAAATCGGTCCGCATGAACTAAATGAAATGCAACAAAAACAACTCTCAGAAATAGTTGATATGTTTCCTACGTTTGAGAAACTTGGTTTAGGATGCACGTCTTTAGAAAAACACTCCATTAAACTAATAGACGGTGCAGAACCAGTAAAAGATAGACATTACCCGATATCCCCAGCAGTTCAGGAAATTGTCTACAAGGAAATTGACCACATGAAAGTCCCTGGAGTAATAGAACAACAATAGTAAGGAAACCTGGAAAGAATAGGTTTTGTTTAGATGCTAGGAAACTAAATAAACTTACAGTCAAGAATGCATATCCCTTGCAATGTATAGATGGTATCCTAAGCCGAATAGACGAGACTTATTTCATTAGTAGTGTAGACTTAAAATTTGCCTTTTGGCAAATTGAACTAGAAGAGAGTAAGCCATACACAGCGTTTACCATAGCAGGTCGACCGCTCTACCAATTTCGCGTAATGCCGTTCGGTCTCTGCAACGGGGTGCAAAGACTTTGTCGCCTAATGGACAAAGTAATTCCACAAAGGCTGAAAGAAAAAGTCTTCGTCTACTTAGACGGCCTCCTGGCCATTTCCGATAGTTTTCAAAAACATCTGGAACTATTAAAAGAAGTTGCACAGTGTCTTAAAGATGCAAACCTTACAATAGGCTTAAAAAATCACAGTTTAGCTTCAAAACTTTGAAATACCTCGGCTTTATAATAGGCAGTGGAATGTTGAGGACAGATCCCGAAAAAGTGAAAGTCATGCGAGAAATCCCGATCCCGAAATCCGCAAGAGATGTCCGAAGCTTTTTAGGCACAGCCGGCTGGTATCGCAGATTTATAAAGGACTTCTCTACGATATCAGCTCCCTTAACGGATACCCTCAAAAAAAGTCCGATGTTCCAAATGACTCCCGAAGCGATTCAATCTTTCGAGGATTTGAAAAAGCCCTAACATCAGCTCCTGTCTTACGACATGCAGACTTCGCCAAGCGGTTTTACATCCAATGTGACGCTAGTGATTATGGTATTGGTGCTGTATTGTTTCAGCTCAATGGTAATGAGGAAGAACATCCAATAGCATTCTTCTCACAAAAACTAAACAACTGCCAAAGAAATTATAGTGTGACGTAGAAGGAATGCCTAGCAGCGGTGATGGCCGTCAGAAAGTTCCGGCCATATGTTGAGATGATGCCGTTTACTATAGTGACTGATCACGCGAGCCTGAAATGGTTAAAGTCACTCAAGGACTTAACTGGTAGATTAGCCCGATGGTCTCTTCAGCTTCAAGCATTCGATTTCGAAATAATGCACAGAAAAGGATCGGAAAACGTTGTAGCTGACATGCTATCCAGGTTACCAGACCATGAACACGTAGAAGAGCTAAATATGGAGGAAATATTCGATTTCGAAACAGCGGAATTCGAAAGTGAAGAGTACTTGGATCTGAGAAAATATGTCCAAGAAAATAGTCATCAACTTCCAGATCTAAAAGTTGACGATGGTAAAAAAACTATATGTTGACTTTATGGGAAAATACCCAAGGTCCAAAAACGGAAACTGTTATATATTCATAGTGGTAGATCATTTTACTAAATTCACTTTCCTAAAAGTGATGAAAGAAGCGTCTGCAAGTAATGTCATAGAATTCCTAGTGCATGAGATTTTCCATAAGTTCGGAGTTCCCGAAATCATTTCAAAAAGTTTTGAAAATTTAATAAAAACATACAAAATCAAACATATAAAAACTGCAGTATACTCGCCACAAAGCAACGCAAGCGAAAGAGTCAACCAATCAGTTTTGTCAGCAATAAGGGCTTATCTAAAAGACGACCACAGAGATTGGGACCTATACCTATCGGATATAGAATGCTCACTGAGAACAGCTGTCCACTCTGCTACTGGGTTTACACCTTTCTTTGCTCTTTTCGGATACCATATGTTCTCTAGTGGAGCAGAATATAAACTTAGCCGAAAATTAGAATCTCTAACTGACCATCAAATCTTAGAGGTGGATCGAAACGACAAGTTGGAAATCATTAGACAACAAATTAAAATAAACCTAAAAAGCCTACGAAAAAAGTGCGAAAAGATATAATCAAAGAGCTCGAGTGGTTACTTTCGTCCCAGGGCAAGAAGTCTATCGTCGAAACACTGTCTTAAGCGACTTTGCGCAGAACCGAATCGCGAAATTTTGTAGAAAATTTTTTAAATGTAGAGTAGTCCGACCTGTCGGTAACAATATGTACGAATTAGAAACGCTACAAGGGAAAACACTAGGTATATATCATGTAAAAGATATCAAAATATAAGAAAATCAACCAAAGAGAAAAAGTGCAATATTAGGACATAAGCAAAGATCAATTATACAAACAATTTAACTAAATATTACAAAACACAATTATTACTTTGCTTTTTAGATCCTAAAATTGACTGACAAATAAATAAGATATCTGTGATATATATTTACATAAGTACCTTATAGTTTAAGAGTAAAATAATTATATAATGTTGATTCAACTCACCAGAAATAGTGCAATATAGAGTAAGGAAACCACAATACAACAATCCAACCTGTGATACAATTTAGTGTAAATTAGAGAAATTATTTTGTTGATTTTTTCCAACATTTAGTTTAGATTTAGGGCATGTGCAATATTCTTCTATGTTGTGCCAGTCCAAGAAATTTTTGTTAAATCTGGAAAAAAAATCACAAAGTAAAAATTCTTATTTACACGATTTGTTACACAGATTATACTTCCTGTGAAATGATGATTGAAATGTGTTGAGAGTTAAATCATCTCTCAATCTTTTCTTCTCTAAAGGTTTGAAGAGATGTGTGACGAATACTAGGCAACTTCATCTTATATAAAGAAAAAGAGTAGAGGCGTAACCCGAAGTTTAAATTGACGCAGCCCTTATAAGCTTAGATTTACCTGCCTCAAAGATCCTTTTTGTAGGCGTTCGTTTAAATTTAGCACCACGTTGTGCACTACTGGCAAAGCACCAGTAATAAGAAATATTACTTATTTGAATTCCAATGGGTTTGTCTCTACAATTTTCTTTCTTTAAACAAGAAAAAAATTTGTAAGAGTACTCTTGCCTAATATCGTTACAGTAACCTCAATTTCAATATTTCAGCATCATCGAACACAATCAGACAATGTCGCGAAGTTTCCTGAAAATAAAAGAATATTAATTAAAAGAACTCTTAAGTTATCTTGAAGTATATTTCTACTTACCATATTAATTGCCCGGTTATCTCTTCAGACTAGACTCTTCTTCAGGGTCATGGGCGTTCCCCGCGTTGGGCTTGTTCGGTATGTTACCGCACACCGATCCCTCTGCTAGTCAACAGCGACCCCGGAGTTTTATTGCGGTATACCTCACCGCACCGACGGTTTTATCATCTGGCCACCCAAAAAAAAAAATTTTTGCGTGGGTGGACCTTAGGGAAACGGTCGGGAGGAGGCCAGAAAATCAAAATTGCCTCTACTCCCTGTTTTGAAATCAATGGAGAGGGGCTTACGGCCAATGGAGACACCACCTCCTGCCCGAGCCCCGGTGTATTATCTGACTATTTAGTGGGGAGGGGCTTACGGCCAATGGAGGCACTACCTCCTGCCCGAGTCCCAGTGGTTAATTTGTTTTCATGTTAGTATTTTGGTTAATTTTGTTTTGGTTTTTCTGGTTTTTTTTTGTTAGTATGTTAGTTTATTAGTTTTGTTTTTATGTTGTAATTTTTGATTTTCGTTTGTATCTTTGTTTAGTTCTCGTATTTTGTTGCTCTTATTATATCCAGTAGTTCTTCTTTTATTTTTATGCTGAAAACGAAAGAAAAATACAAATTAAAAATAAAAAAATTTACCGAAATACTTACCTCCATGTGCTTGTCCGTCCAGCTGTTGTCAGAATTAATGAAAACAGGGTTGCTCAAATGTCAAAAGTAGTAAAAGTATTGGCAACGCAACGTATATCGTAAAAGTGTAGGGGTGTATTTCATTCATGCAGACATGGGAATGTGTATTTTTTTGTAGTAAAAAAATTAAAAATAATTGAATGAAAATACTACTGCTAAAAATTATGAGCTCCTAGTACATAAGGCGGTAGGAATGCATAGAAAATAGGGAAAGCGCCTTGATTGGGGGAGTTTAAGCTTGAATTACTTATTTGGCCGTGCAAATAAGTAAGAAAAGTCTGCCAAGTAGGAAAAATCCGCCAAATATAAAAATAAATAGAAAAGAAATAAATTAATTATATATAGTAAAATTATGCCGCGGTAAATTATATAATGTAATAAAAACAAATAGCGCGGTTTACATGATCGGCGGACAGAAAAAGGCTACGACATGATGAGTGGGGGAAATATGTAAATAAATACCTTATGTAGCAGAATTTTAGGAGAATGAAATTTGCGGGAAATTATATTTACATAAATGTAGGGGAAGACAAAAATAGGGTATTTAAGCTCACGATAGAAATGAAAATAACACAGTTGGTGAAAGAAAAGTTAAGTGAGTGTGCAAAAGTGTTTTAAGAAAAAGTAAATTTAATAAATAAAAAAAAGGAAGAAAATTTTTTTGAAGATAAGGAAAAAGAAAAGGACTGTAGTCTGAGATTTAGTGAACAATAAATCGATAAATTTAATGTCCTTAAAATAATCCTAGAGGATCAAATAATTATAAACTTATTTGAACAACAATAATAAAAACGTAAGTTTTTATAGAAATATAGCATAGTGTGTAGGAGTAAAAATGATTTTGTTAATCCTTTATAGCTGGCTAATTTACAAGAAAGAAGGACCGCAATACTGGAAAGTCTGCCATCCAAGTAATTAGCCAGGTAACAATTTTTATTTATTCCTTTTAAATAATTTGCGGAATAGTGCAGTAATAGCTAAGAAAGCTAAGAAAAAAGTTGTTAAAAATGATCCAAATAAAAAGGAAACATTTTAATCACTAAAGAAAAAGGAATTGGTGACAAATTTTACATTTTTATATTTAAATATTTATTAAAAAACGTATTTAGTGTATGGAATAATAACAATTATATAGCTCACTTAATTTAACCAACATAAAAGTCATACAAAATCTTCCTTAAGTATTATTATATTACCCAGCAAAAAATAATTGATGTCATACTTTACAAACGACAACTTAATCACATCTAAAAATGCGATTGCATACTTTTCGCTTTTATAAACCAAACATATACTTATAAATTAAAACACAGTTAAAAATGAGAAAAGAGATGTAGAAAAGTCACTACAAACAAAATATTCGAAGTACTTCAAATTTTGATGAAATTTACATAAGCGTTTCATTGAAAGAATGTGGTTTATTTTTGACGTACAAATATCGGATTTTTACAGCTTCTAAAGATAAGATTAGATGTAGTTCAAAGTTGTCAAAAATGAACAACATCCCTCCAATGACACGCTAATGTAAAATTCATAGGTTTTTCACCTGAATTTGAAGCACTTCGGGTTACTAGTTGTGATGAAAATTCCACATCTTTTTCCACACTTTTTTTGCTGGGTTATTAATGAAAGAAATTTTAAACTTGTCATATAGAAGGCCAGTTACAAACAAACAAGAGATTTAGAACCAACTATTAAAAGTAGAAAGAGTCCGGAAATAATTTTTAAAATAAGAGAAAAAGAAATTAAATAGATTTAAGATAAATTAAGGTAGTTGTGAAATCGTGAAAAAAATAATTTTGTAAACCGTGATAGTGTCCGGTAGTTTTGTGTCTTTTTGTTTGAATCACGTGAAACTTTCGGTAATACCGGAAAAGAAAAAGATAAAAAAACAAGAATTAGAAAGAAATACTTATATATATCTTAGAATTATTTACCACAGCTTAAGAAGAGCGCGTAAAGAGAAGCCTTTTAAAAGTGTCAAGGTATATAACATATAACTCAGGGAGCTCCTTTAGTTGTAGACTATAGAAACGTCAGAATCCGAATTAAGGAAGTAGAAACTTAAGCCCTGAAACAAAAAAATTGAAAATATAAGATATATAGAGAAAGAGTTTATGCGGTAAAAGATTAGAAATATTATTGAAAAAGTTAACAAGAAATACAGTGATTCGTTCAAATTATTAGGTTTTTGTATGTGTTTAGGTTTAAGTTATATATTAAGTTTCTTTTATTATCTAATAAAATTGTATATTATGAATTGAAATTAATACTTACAATGTTGGTCTAATTAAGTAAAGGTAATGGCGATGATAGACCGGTAAGTGGTTAAAAGGGTCAGGTGGGTTTCGGGTCGCTAAAAAGAGAATTCATTGGATCCGTCAGCGACAAGGTTGGGAGGGCAGATACAGAGGACAACATCTATCTCTGTAAAGGAAACGTGGTTAATGTGGTTCAGATTATGTAAGTTTTGTTTTGTGATTTGAATACCTTTTTGTTTCGTGTAGAATACGAGTTTGGTGAGAAAGGGTTGGAACCTCCTGAGGTCAGTCATGCCAGTTAGTGGGAAAACTCGCCTTACAACCGGTTCGTAACAAAATAAACATACAAATTTATGGAAAAATTATATACCGAATGAAAGAATCTTTGTTGTAAATGAAAAATTCTACTCCGGCGGCGTAATTTTTATGATTTACACGTTGTAGTCAGCAGCCGCCGGAAGGGTAAATACCTCATATGGATTTTGTTATAAAAAGTGTTCGGGAACAGAATTTTGTTAGTTTATCACATTATATACACAATGTAAATATACAACAATTTATTAAATTTTTTTTAGAACTGAAAAATTGGCCATAACGTAGAAGACAGCTGCCGCCGGTTCAATAAATACATACCTCATGTGGGTTCTTTATATAAAATGTTCCGGAACAGATTTTTTGGTTGATCGCGTTAACTACAATGTGTAAATATAAAATATAAAACAATATTGTTTAATTTGTTAACATTTAACAGAAAAAATATTGTTATATCAAGTTTGTATATGCGTACCAATTATTCATTATTTATATGTATAAGAAAAATATTTGTTTACAAAATGCTTGGTATTTTCAGATTTTTTCATAAATTATTCAAAATTCTAACGAAGTTTTTCTCTGTTTTAACGGAAATTTTTATATATAAAAATGAAAACAATAACAAACTCTGACATCAGTGCGTACCAGCCAAGTGAACAGGTCAAATTAATTTTATAAGTTAGTGTCATCGGCGAATTCAGAATACCAAGCGAATTGGTTACATTTGTTTATATGTAGTTTGACATTGTGCCTGCACTTGATGGCGAATTGGCTGTAAGGGAATAATTTCAAAAACAGCTGACAAATAAATCAAAGCAAATTTATATTAAACAAAAATTTTTTATAAATTTGAGTCTGTTTATAATTTATTTTGATGTTTAAACTTTTAAAGATTAAAAACACAAAAATATACCCTAATCACACAATTTCACTTTAATCACAAAATTCACATGTACAAAATGAAACCAGTTTGACATTAACAAAATAAAAACAAAGTTTGACATTTACAAAATGTGAACAAAGATTGACATTAATTATACACCACTGCGAAAAATTAACATAATAGCAAAAAACGATCAGCTGTTCTGATAACAGTACCTTATAATTAATATATCTTGCAAGTGAAGAAAAAAATAATTGAATAACACCACCTTATCTGAATTCGCCTTGCTCGTCTCTACAACAATACAAAAACAACAGGCGATTTGTTATTGTAAAATAATCCCATCTGTCAAAAAAAAACTGTATGCGGCGAATAAAAAAACTACACTACTTTTTAACTTTTAATATATAAAATTAATTAAACGTGCAATGCCTAGAAATCAGGGTACAGATAGCGATCGAATTCAATTCGCTCGCGAGCGAGTTTAATTCGAGCGATTTAAATAATTCATTTTCCCGCGAAGAAATCTATTTTTCAACTCGCGATAAGAGTTGAAAATTTAAAGATCGTAAAATAGAACTCGCTCGCGATTCGAGTCAAAACGAGTTAATCGCGAGTTTTATAATTTTGTAAATGAAAAAAATGTAAATTTAAAGGACATAATCAATTATATATAATATGACATAACCAAATAAGTTTCCCATTAAAATTATGCACGCACATACATTATGTACTTACATTAATTGCGCGAAGTAGTAGACACTTTGTACATACATACATATATCACATACATACTCATACATACATACATACATACATACATACTACATCCATACATACATACATACATACATAATACATACATACATACATACTACTACATACATACATACATACATACATACATACATACATACATACATACATACATACATACATACATACATAATACATACATACATAGCATACATACATACATACATACATACATACATACATACATACAGACATACATACAATACATACATACTACATACATAGCATACATGACATACATCCATACATACCTACATACATACATACATACATACATACATACTACATACATACATACATCATACATACATACATACATACATCATACATACATACATACATACATACATACATAAATACATACATACCCTAGAGACATACATACATACATACATACATACATACAACAGACATACATACATACAACATACATACATACATACATACTAATACATACATACATACATACAATACATACTACATACATACATACAGACATACATCATACAGACAATACATACATACATACATACATACATACATACATACATCATACATACTACATACATACATACATACATACATACATACATACCATACATACATACATACAAATAACATACATCATACATAAATACATACATTACATACATACATACATACATACATACATACATACATACATACATACATACATACATACATACATACATACATACATACATACATACATACATACATACATACATACATACATACATACATACATACATACATACATACATACATACATACATACATGTGCAATAGTTTTGTCTTCTAAATGTTTGAAGGTTACATACATATGTACATACATAACTACAGATAAAAAACATACACATTTAAATAAAAAGGTAGACAATATATTCCATATACTTTCCCACTTTTGCTTTGTCTCACCATCATAAAACCTACGGCTATACAATCACACATACATAATTTGTTCCCATATTATTCGCTCTTTTTTACTACAACAACATAACTTGTTTCTTCCACACACATTTTGCTGATTTTCAGCTTTTCGAACAATTTTCATTTAATTTCTATATTTTTTGTTTATTTATTCTTCGTTTATAAATTTGTTCCGCAATTTTTGTTTTCTTCTTTTAATTTGTATGTTTTTGACAGCTGTTTTATTGGAAATTTCCAATAAAAACGTAATTCGTGTAACATCGGCGCAATTTACATGAAGACTTTTCAGACGTCTGTTTTTTCCAATTCTCTTTTGAGAATCTTCCAAAAAATCATGAACATTTATACGGTGATTTTTTACATGCAACTATGCATGTCTTTTTTTGATGTTTAATTGTATAATCCTTTTTAATTACTTATTCGTAATAAACCCAAAATGAAATTTTAAACATAAAAACCATTTAATTTGATTTAAAAAATTTTAATAACACGCTATAGTATTTTTTTAATGCAAATTTTAATGTTTTCATGTAAAAAAAAAGACATAATTATTTTTTTACATAAGCATAATATCAACAGTACGAATGAGTTTAAAGAGGAATGTCAAAAACAATCATGAAAATCCAAATCATGTTTGTTTTCTTACCCCCCATTCTTCTCTACCCCGCTCACCACCAATCATCGACAAACATGAAAACAGACGTCTGGGCAAACATGAAAAAAATCATCGTGTAAATTGGGTGATCTTCTCACGTTAAGTTACAGAAACACTTTTTACTCACAAATCGAGAAACGATGGAATTTTTTGTTTCACACTTCTCGATGTGAGAACTTCTCACTAAAAGTTACAGAAACGGGGTACTGATTTGGAACGTATGCGGGGCAAGAGATTTTCTTATTTTATCAAGACAGAAGTACTACAAAGACATTTAATCCCATTGACCATTGAAATTTTTTACAAATTTTGCGAATTTTTTTTAATATAAACAAACAGGAATTCTGACAGATAAGATTGTAACAGCTGATGATCATCTGTGCGGACTAGGCTACCTTATTAATTGTATCATGAAAATGAGTTAATTCGCAATAGTAATTCGGAGCGGAGCCAGTAATTCAACTGGTCGGGAGAACATGGCATAGTTGAATTTTAAATAGATTTCTAAAAAAAATTATAATATGTACTAAAATAGGAAAAAAAGTAAGAGTGATATATTTGTCTGTGCCGAATCTTATATACCCTTCACCATAGTGTATTTAAAAAATATCAATTTTATAAAATTTTAATTTATTTCATTTTCTCCACTATATCATAATTATAGCAAAACAAAATGAACAACAACAACGCTAAATGAAATAAACACACAAAATACACAAGGCAGTAAAACCTAACCAGCAGTTCGGCGGGACAGTCCCGAACTAACCACTTGACATACCACTTATGGTAGCCTCTAGCCACCCGACTACCCATGTGACCAACCATTTTAACATGGGCTTGTCCTACGAAGAAGTCAAACGTCACTCTAAAGTCTACATTGAGACTTTCAAGAGGTAGTCAAAAGTAGTCAATGTATGGTAATCTCCAAATTGGTTCTTGGGAGTCAGTCACTCTACTAGCTATTGACGTGTCCTATGGGAAAGTCAAGTGTCCCCATGTAGCTTGTCCAATGGACAGGTATTGCAGTAGGGTTAAATATCCGGTCCGTCGAAGTATAACGCTGAAAACTTATGAAAAATAAAAAACACTTTAAAAAAATACTTTTATTTCCAGATTAAATAGATATTGAAATAAATATTTTTATTATTGCTGCTCATTTGTATCTTCAGTAAAATCGGACTTTTAAACTTTGGAATCCATTAATACACAAAAATGACTCTGAAAGAATAGAATTTGTTATGTTAAAGAAAGATTAATTCTCGTCTAATTTCTGCGAAAAATTTTTGTTTTAATCTCATCTTTAATAAATTCATTTTCCCAAATTGTAAATATTTCTTATTTAAATATCATGACTTTTACTATTTTTTAATTTACTTCAAAAAATTCCTATTTTAAAATTCACATAACAAAATTTTTCGCGAGAACTTTCTTAAACATCTTCTTAAAGCCAACTAAAATAAAATCAAATAACTTAAAAAGTGATGAAATAGTATAACTGTTCATGTTGCGTTCTTTGCGCTAAGACAAAACTGATCATTTTTTTTTCTTTTTCTCTTCACATTCAATTCTTAAGTTTTTTTCAAGTGTCTCCTCTCTCGTTTACTCGGGGGACAGTAAAGTGACGACTGTTCACTCTCTTGCTTACTTGGTGTACAGTAAACTGGCGATTGTCTTCGCTTTAGATTACAAAGAGTACATTCGTGACTAATGACCAAAAACTTTCAAATAGGTTACAACCAGAAGGTTAAATTTTAGTGGAAAATGAAAAAAGTGTCTCCAATAGATGTGCAAAATATCTACATTCTGAAGTACAATGGAAGAAAACAATTTTTAAGTGTCCCCGCACTCGTTTACCTAGGGTACAGTAAAGTGACGATTGTCTTCGCTCTCGTTTACGAAGAGTACGTTGGTGACGAATAACCTATTATATAGAAATTAGGGTCAACCATATGGTTACACATTAGTGTAAATGACTGTCTTTTACGTATGCATTGACTCTTTATCGAACTGCTGGGTATAGACATCCCAACATACGAAACGAAATACACAAAAAAAAAACAAAAGCAATATACACAACGCAATGAAACCAATAGACATCCAAACATACGAAACTGAATACACCAAGAAACAAAAACAATATACACAAGGCAATGAAACACTCAGCCATCCAAACATATGAAACGAAATACTCAAAAAAAAAAAAAAAAAAAAAAAAACATGCAATGAAAAAACCAGTTGGTTGTTGATTGTTTATCATAGCATGCCAAAAAATTCCTTTTTTATGAAATTTTCAGAGGTTGTATCGGATTTTTGCTTATATCTCCGTTGTTTATGGACGGATTTTGCTGATTTTAAATAGGAAACTTCTGGAAAGCATGTCTCATAGAATTATTGAAGATTTGGGTCCCGAAGATATCTGGTGTCCACAGAAAACTGATTTCAACAGACGGACAGACAGATAGACGGACATAGATTAATCGACTCCGCTATCTATAAGGATTCAGAATATATATACTTTATAGGGTCGGAAAATTATATTTTGGAAATTACAATCGGAATGGCAAACTTATATATACCCTTCTCACGAAGGTGAAGGGTATAATAAATCAAAATTGTATGCTAAGCGAAATATAATTAGGTTTTTAATTTCCAAATTTCTTGCTACATATAAATATTAATTAATATCCTTCTTAGTTGCATTTAGTTCTATATAATTTTAAATTAAAGTCTTGCTATCAATAAATCAATCGTAAAGTTCTACATGATTTCCACAGATATATATTGATTTCGTTGTAGTATAAGTGGGCTATTAGGTGTTATCAAAATGAGTATTTAAAAACATTTAACAATCTGGTAGCGCTACTAACTACCAATTATTTTTTATTGAAAAGAAAATAACCAAGTATTCGTAAATTTAACATCTCTATTTTATAAAGTATCACAATTTTTATTAGAAATACTTCAATTTTAAATAAAAAATATACTATTTAATTATCAAATATTTATAGTGTTATAGATATAAATTATTAAAAAAAGAAAATGCATTCCAGTTATTAATAAAATGCATAATGTTATATATTAATGTATAAATATTAATAATTCTACTAATCATATATGGATTGGAGTGTTTGTATATGCGTTTGCTATCATAATTGCGACTACAGTTCTAATTGTAAAACAAAATTGTTAATTGTTGATGGTTGTCGATTTTTTAAGCATCAAAATGGGTAATTCTTTCAAGTGAATAAAATTTTTATGTGGAACCTTTAAATATTTGTACTCTTTGGACATAAAATGGGTACAACAATGGGAAAAAATGGTAATTTCCTGGATGCCTTACCATCGCAGGTAAAGTAAACGTCTGATTACATACAATATACACACATTTTCAACTAATACGAAATGCATTGTTATACCTAATAAAAATCTCTTATGTTTTAATGTGAAAATTAAGTTCATTAAAGTATTTGTATGTATAGGGCACATTACATGTTGTAATGTTGGGTCTTGATTCTGCTGGAAAAACTACTGCTTTGTACAGACTAAAATTTGACCAATATTTAAATACTGTTCCCACAATTGGTTTTAACTGTGAAAAAGTCCAAGGCATGGTTGGTAAAGCGAAAGGAGTGCAATTTCTAGTGTGGGACGTGGGAGGACAGGAAAAACTGAGACCTTTATGGAGAAGTTATACACGGTAAAATTAAATAATTACATACACAGTGCATATATTTTGTTCTCCTCACGTATTAGTGTTTAAGTTTACGTTTATGTTCTATTTTTAGGTGCACGGATGGAATACTGTTTGTGGTAGATTCTGTTGATGTTGAGAGAATGGAAGAAGCAAAAATGGAACTTATGCGTACTGCAAAATGTCCGGATAATCAAGTAAAATTTTAAATTTTTAACTAAAATGTTTATTTTGTGAGCAGGAATATATATTAGCTTATTTGTTAAAATAATTATAATAACTTTAATCAAGTTCCCGGAACATTGGATAGTTGACTTTTTTAATTTTTTATGTCCAAATATGTGGTTAAAAACTGTTACTAAACAGCTTGCAGTTTACTATATTTTAGGATAGTACTTTAATTTTAACCTAATACCCCATTTACACTACAGCCAAATCTAGTACTTATGAGATTTCGAACAAATCTAGTTGATTTTAACTAGACTTTTCACACAAAATCTACTAGTAGATTTCGGCAAAATCTACTCGAAGTCTAGTAAAAATAGAAATAGAAACAAAACAAACAAAGAAAAATAAAAATTTCGACAAAATTTTAATAAATTGGAAAACATGAATGAAAAGCTAATTTAAAATAGAAGGTAATGTAATATTAAAATATCTATTTTTTATTCTAAATGAAATTCTAGTAAATTTTCCAAAAAAAAAAAAAAATTAAATCTTCCTAAATGTCAAAAATAAGAAGTGTAAACGGTCTAGATTTGAAGAAGAAGAGATATAAGGAACATTAAAGTTTTGTCATTGAAGTTAAGTTTTTTGTCTACCTCTTTTTAAGAGAATTTTGTATTTTGTTCATAAGTAAAATTCAAAAAAAAAAAAAAAAAAAAACGGGTAAAAAGTCAATTTATGTTTTCCAATTGAAAATAGAGATTGTGTAGAATGAGAAAACCAAAAAAAAAAATTAAAATACAAATTTTGGTGCATTTGTTGTTGTATTTTATTATGAAAATAAAACAAAATATTTGCAAATTTAATGAGACGTAGATCTCTCTGTATTTATTTATTATTATTATTTTACCTCGTAGAAGCAATAACGCCAAGAGCACGTAGTGCTTATGTTGACGATCAGAAAAGAAGTGTTTTTTAATTTACAAAACGTAGATTGGTGGCAAACAATATTTAGGTACCGTTAACGGTTTACTCGTTAGAATTTTCCAACAAAGTTGTAAATAAAGCGGAGCTTAATAAGATTCTAACGTTGCAAAAAATAGTATTTGCATATGTTATCAAAACAAGTGTAAACCATAAATCGAACTTGAACATTGCCGGCCACCTTGCAACACTAAAGAGTGTTGCAATTAACATTGAGATCTATATCTATAAATTTATTGTTTTTTTTTTTTTTTTTTGTTAATATTTTTTTTTTTTTTTTTTATAAAACAAGTGATCAAAGGTATCACACCAGACTGGGCTGGTAAAATAATGGTTCCCATAGAACAAAGCCTATGGGATGTAGTTTTCCGCAGACTACATACTGCTCTCAAAGGGAGAATGGTTTTAAAGCAGACCATGAACTGGGTTCGTAGAAAAAGGGTTCCCATAGGACAAAGCCTATGGGATGTAGTTTTCCGCAGACTACATACTGCTCTCAAATGGAGAATGGTTTTAAGCAGACCATGAACTGGGCCCCTTAAAGAGGGGCATGGTCATAAATGACCCAACCACAAAGTGGTGTATTTAAATTTAGTATGTATATTAAAGTAGACGTAAATATATTCTTGTGAGCATTTTAAGTGATATTCAAACAAACGTTAAGAAGCGTTAGACCACGTAGTGTATTGTAAATTTGCGATATGTGATTCAAAGTCCCTAGGATTGGCTGGTCCTGTCAGAATCCAGCCAAATACAGTTTTTTGTGCCAATAATGACCCTAATATATTTTGCTGTACTTCCGGTAAAATTATACGATGATATAAATCCGCACCAATAAGAATATCTACAGGCCTACTATCTAAAAGATTAGAATCCGCCAAACGAAGATTTGGCAATAACTTTTTAATATCGATATTTACGGAAGTTGAAGGCAAATTTCCTGAAATTTTTGGTAAAACAAATGCGTTTGTACTAAGGTTTACTGAAGAGTCTAAATCGGAACCAATTTCCACAGGACAATATTTAGAAACTCCAATAACTACATTATTGATGCCAGAAACTTGAGCGTGTGCAGAATGCGTGGGAAGTTTTAACCTTTTCCGTAATCGTTCAGAAATGTAAGAGCATTCCGAACCCGAATCAATTAAAGCGCGGACCTGATGCTTATTGTTATTATGAATTATATTTACCGTAGCTGTGCCTAATAGAACAGACTGGTTTTGACTAGTATGGAATACATGTGAATTGGACGTTACATTATTGGACGTATGTGATTGTTGGTAGTGGGAATTAGTAGGTCGTAGAACCGCACCAGAGTTCTGTTCCGTAGAAACGGTCTTTCAACCACAGAATTTTCTAAATGTTGTAAATGAAGCATCGAGTGATGTCGATTATTGCATATATAACAATTATTATTTATTTTGCAACTTCTGGCAGTATGTGTCCTCGAAAGACAATTAGTGCAGAAGTTATGCTCATTCACTGTTGAAATTCTATCAGATATTGAAAGACTTTTAAAACGACGACAATTTCGCAAGTAGTGGGACTGATTAGGACATAGAATACAAGAAATTTTAACGGAAGAATTGTGAGATTGCAATGAAGATTCCATATTAGTGGAGTTTGTACCTTTAATTTCTTGAAGACATTGCAAAGTCAGAATTCTTTCCTTCAGAAAATTATCTAAATCTTTCCATGAAGATAAACTTAATTTGTCCTTAATGCCCTGTTCCCATAAAATAATTGTTGAACTAGGTAGACGTTGAATACACATAAACACGATAATTGGGTCCCAATTATCTGTGGGCACATTATAAATAGAAAGTGCCGTAAAAAAACTATCGATTCCGCTCTGTAAGGTTTTGAGTGCTGTGATCGACTCCTTGTCAAAGGCAGGAAGACTAAATAAAAGCTTTAGTTGGTTATGCACCAACATACGAGGATTCTCATATGCATTCCTTAAATCGCGCCAGGCTAACTCAAAACTATTATTATTTAATGGATATCTTGAAACGATTGTTTTAGCTTCACCCTCGGTTTTCCGTATTAAATGGCAAAGACGTTCTATATTGCTAAGCCGCGAGCTATTAATGTAAATTGCGGTAAATAAATCCCTAAAAGCGGGCCATGAAACATAATCCCCTACGAAAGAGTCGATATCGCATGGAGGGAGCGTCAGATTATGCTCTGAATTATCGGAATTCAAATTCGCTGTTGGAGGTTCATTAGTTTTTGAAGCGGATTCCAATGTTCTTATTTTCTTAGAAATAGATCCTCCACATTCAATATATTCATAAGATGTGGCTTGATATTTTTCCGCTACCACTTTAAATTCACTAGACTCTAGAGTGTTAAGACATACTTCGTACGTCGAATTAACTTTGTCCCAAAGTCTTTCTAACTCCCGTTTCCGAATCTCCAACTTAAAAACGTCATGCAATTCATCATCTAAATTATCAAACCTCACGCGGTATGCAACGAGAGCATCCGATGCTCTAATAAACGCATTTAGTGACGTGACCGACATTTTTAATATTTAAAAATTGTAATAAAAATAGATGAATTAATAACTCGATATTAAACTACGAATTGACTACAAAATTTATATCAACAAACTTGATAATAGTCAAACTGACCGACCGTAGGGTACCCAATATAAGGGAAGAACAAGAATACACCGTAATGTATTTTGTTGGTAGAATTTACAGATGTAAATCTGTAAACAAACAAACGCACAAAAGAAATGTAATGAAATACTAATTTATAATAAAATAAGATCAACAATATCGCTTTAAATTATTGTCCGTAAGATCAAAAGAATTTAAATATTTTTTGATATAAATTAAAGTTAAAATTAGTGCAAAATATCCACAAATACAACAAGTTAAACCAATTGAAAAATCACAAAAAATATGTGTGTGTGATCGCGAAACAACTATAGAATTTTTTATCACTTGCTCACAATTGAAATATATTTACGTACCTTATTTCGTAGAAATTTCGTAAAAATTAATAAAAAATATATCTTCGGTGGACTGTATGTTTTCCAAGGGATGATGGAGTGAAGATGCCAAAAATCCGTATATGATACACAAAAAATCCGGTTCGCTAGGACCAAATGTTCAGCTCCACCACAATTTCCCAAGATTTTATGAAAATAAAACAAAATATTTGCAAATTTAATGAGACGTAGATCTCTCTGTATTTATTTATTATTATTATTTTACCTCGTAGAAGCAATAACGCCAAGAGCACGTAGTGCTTATGTTGACGATCAGAAAAGAAGTGTTTTTTAATTTACAAAACGTAGATTGGTGGCAAACAATATTTAGGTACCGTTAACGGTTTACTCGTTAGAATTTTCCAACAAAGTTGTAAATAAAGCGGAGCTTAATAAGATTCTAACGTTGCAAAAAATAGTATTTGCATATGTTATCAAAACAAGTGTAAACCATAAATCGAACTTGAACAAGAACATTATGTTTAAATTTAGACCTCTCAACAGACCTTATGATGCTTGGAAACAATATAAAGTGAACTATCGTGTGGTACAGGAAATATACTTAATTTAGATATTTACAAATAGAGGCGGTTCTCATCAACTAAAATCCACAAAAGCAATATTTTTCAGCTAAAACATACACTTATATATAGTTAGAACCCAAATCTAGAATAACTATCCAGATCCAACTACGCCTACTGTATTTTATTTTATTTAAATAAAGCATTCAAAATATGAGGTAGAAAATCAAGATTTTAGCATGTAATAGTGGTATACGGTGATATCCCCATACTTAGAGTGGCTTGGATGGTACTTAGCGTTAGCTTTATTGAATAAGAATCAATATTATACAATTCTAAATAAAATTCACATAGTACTCCCCAAAATAGATGGGGTTTCAGTAATGAAGTTTTTGTTTATCAATACAAAATGACCAAAAACCCAGATTATTTTGTTATAATATGTAGTTTTATACCCCACTAAACAAACATTTTTTCTAGGTCCAAATCCACTGATTTTCTAGTATATCATGTATCCTTTTCAAAA